TGCACAGTTAGATTGTGTACTCCGTGTGTTGACCATATAGGTTCACCTTTCCCATGCCTCGAAATAGGTCCAATCCCTGTCCACCCCAAATATTACCACTAACCTTGTACGCATTGTGAGTTTGGCAGCGATCAATGAAGTTCGCTTCGGTGTACGATGTTGACATTGTTCCAGAGTTTCCTGGGGGGAATAAACGAAAGGCTACCTAGAACAGATCCGGACTACAGTTCTTGGGTCCTAAATACGAGTTTTGCCTAAGGCGATGTTCAGTATCTAAGGTTCTAGCCAGTACGCCCAGGTGTTCATACATTGGTAGTGGCGGTTTGAAAAGATCGTTGAGGTAAAAGAAATGTACAATCCGCGCTTGTGCATCATGTTCGTATTTTTAAGTCAGTCGAAGGTCAGTGATTCAGATTCACCGGGGTGGGGGGATCTAGATTGACGCAGCAGCTTACGCCGTCGTAAAGTCATATTGGAGGTCAGCAAGAACGAGATAGTTAGTTTCCTGTTACTAATGTCTGAGAGCAAAATACTACCTGGTCAGCGTAGGGGCTGGGTTAGGTGTCTCATCGGGAGCTCATGGTCGAGTGAGCTAACCGGCAGGGTAATGGAACGACGCTAGAAAACCACTGTCCTCGCTAAGAATCGTTCCATGAGACTTCTGGTTGGGTTTTGACATGACAATGTGCCCGGTACATCAGCATTTTCCTTATGCGAGTAACGTTCCTTATGGCACTACTGTTCGTCAAACCTTAGTAGTATTTTAATAGTAAACCCGAAAGTCACTCCAAGAAAAGCCCTCCCACTTTTCTTCGTGTCTGCGATTACAAAGCAATTGACCTCAACCTGAGATCGCACCCGGTAACCCGCTGTTGTGACCTGAGACACTAAAAATAAAAATTGTTTTTAACGCCCAACTTATTTCCACACCTGTCCCAAGGAGTCTTATGCCATTCGTCATTTCAAGGACTATTCTCACTGCTCGATGAGTTTCCTTGATTTCAGTGTTTGCCACTTCTACCCTATGGCTTTGGTATGTAATAATAAACTAAGCATAACTCTAATGTCACTGATCCATTTCATGTGTGTAAATTACTTGATATTTTGAGGTGTATCTGATTAGTCTAACCTCAGCTCGTATAGAACTGCCCACTTAGACGCCAATCCTTTAGTAAAGTGTTTCAGTGTGGTATGAAAAAGTGTTTACATATTTCATCGGGTCGTGTACGCCATTTTTCGTTCCAGTGCTTTTCCATAGTTTCTCTTTTATCATTTCCTTTTTCAAGTAATATATAATCACGATTATTTTGCGTTACACTTGTTTCTCTTTTTTCATTCTCTAACTTTCAGCCACAAATCCCAGCTCAAGCTTCAAATACACGTAAGTCCTAATCCGCGCTTTTTGCTCATGTAATTTTCATGTGGTGTTCATACTCGACTCTCAGTCAGCTGTTTTGTTGGAGAATAATTTGCCTACATGGAAATTCGTAACGCTTCTTAGTAATGGAATACAGAGTGGTGTTCGCAACATCTTTTGGTCGTCCAGTCTGAAGTAGGCGGTGAACAGACGGCGCCTGATTTGCGGTTTCTCTTGTACCTTTTTCACATCCAAGTATCCGCAAGACATAGTTATTCCAGACGAGCAGTTCGTAAATTTTTGTTTTACATAGGGGAGCGCTAACGAAAGTTGAACGCACCTTGGTTTAGAGAATTAGTACTGTTTGTCTACAACCGCTTATTTAGTGACCCTGGGCTCGCTTTATTCGCGGTGAGGCACCGGGTGGGTGAATACTCGCGACCTACGGACGCATCCGGTAACTCTTTCATTCGGTACTTTTTGTTGCATCCCTTTTTGTGTCTCCTATATTCAAGGGAGTTCGAGTATCGTGAAAATTAACTCATCAATGTATGTCATATTATAATATTGGATCCCGTACACGACGTGATTTACATCTCAACGGTTCGGAAAATTTGTGACATTTTCTCCTTCAGCATCACCAAGCCTCCCAGGCAACGCCGCTGTTTCCAGCTCTCCCCAATGTAATGTGGACGATTCTGACAACCCGGTAATCCTCGGAGTTTCTCACGTGTCCATTTCAACGCGTTCCTCTCGTCTTGGTCAATGGGGTCGGAGTTTGCTACGCCCATCTCTTTCCCGCAACCAGATTGAAGCACTTTATGTAAGTTTCTTGTCTATTTGTGAACCACCGTCAAATAACTGCTGTCAACCTGTTTGGGAGTCTTAGATTGCACCCTGAACACGCGCAATCAGTCCATCATTTGCAGTTCAGTCGTTTTGAGTAAGAGTGTGCTCTACGAAGTCAAAGTGCATCAACCATTTTGTTTACTTCATTGAGGCGTTTCGGGTTTAACAATTGATTTCAATTTTGGCCTGTCCTAAATGTTACCAGACAAACAAAAACTAAATTTATCATATAAAAATGTCTAATATTGACGTTTTTTATATTCCAGCAGGAATAACGCTCCGTTCCTTTCACTGTGGGAACCTACGTTCTACATGCAATGCAAATCACAGTGTGTTGTTTAAGCGGTTAGAATTCAATGTCTTAGACTTTTCTTGTTCTGCTTTTTTCTCTGTTATATACAGCGTTAATAGCTTGCATCTTTCCTACAGTTGGTCACTTATTCTTTCATTATTTCCTCATTCAGGCGGCCGAAAAACTGGCTTTCAAGTTACTCAGTTCGCACCACTTTGTACCCGCTAATCACGGGTTGCAAGCATGCAATCCCCATTGGATAACGTTGGCCGGGGCAACAAAATTGGCGTGAGTTTAATCGAGTTCCTCCTTTGTTTTGACAGATCCACACTTCTACATAGATTGATACAATGTAAATCACCCCATATTGAAGCTACCTCAATGATGGGGAAAATGGAAATGGGTTATTCTTGTCAAATGTGTCCCCTTGGGAATAGTCTATGATCTTGGGTTAACTTGATTTATACCGCTACCTGCCACCCCAACCGTGAATATTGAACATTCCGTAAGGAGGGCTGTAGAGCGTTCATCAGAATTTTCTGAAACCAGTTAAGTGGTATACTGCTACAGTTGTGCATAGCACAACCTCCTCAAATACAGTTTCCGCCATCAGTACGCACAGTACACGTCGGTCCATTGAACTCGTTATCTCCATACTTGAGACACCCTGATAGAGCATTCCGTACTTCCCTCTGATGATTTTTAATAATGCTTTCCAAACTCACATCATTTAAAAACCTACACCCGAAATGGTTATCAGATGAGTTGTGTCTACCTAATAGGATGGAGCAACTGTTGTCTTATCACACCATGAACCATCAGGTACCCGAACACATTCCAATAGTAATTGATTTCATCTTGCATCGGAGGTAAATAAGAAATAGATGATCAATGCGTCAGTCGGCTAGTTGTTGGACTTATGGTCAGTCATGGACTGGGCTCTCTCGTTTTCACCGTGAACGTAAATGCAAACTCATGAATTGCGCTCGTTTCAGCCCGCAGTGTTGTGATGCGACCATCTGACTCATCTTGCCCGTCACGCGATTGTGTGCCGAAATTATCCGATTAGCGGATTTATCTGATCGATTTTCAGGCAGATAAGCCCCGTATGTTAGTTTCACATTCATTTCGCTACATGTACTAACTTAGAAATTTAGTTAACCGCATGTCCTAAATGTAAGCTTAAGTTATTAAGGGATACCGCAAAAAATCCCTAGATGGTGCAGTCTGTTTCGTCGAACACCCGTTGTCTACCATGTAGTAACAATTCACGCTTTCCGGTGAACCAGATGATCTCACTTCGGAATCCTCGTCGCGTAGCAGCTCCAACCCAATAAAACAACAGAAGTCAGTTTTTAAGGAAATTTGTATATTCCATCTGGTTGAAAAATGTGTACCGCCTGTCTGTAGTTATCCACTTCTGGGGTCAAGTATGTATGACTTTGCAGAAAAAATAAACTTAAACTTATTGTGGGACAGTCTATAGTAAGATCTATTGTGAAATCTTGTTCAGCTACTCTGCGCCCCTCCCCCTAGAGCAGCCATCCCTTTCTTGAAGGCACATCATTCGGGTTCCGGTTCCACCGAAGTAAACAACCATCAATGCTATAGCTTCTAATGACTACGGGAATAGCATCACCTGTGGTATGACTTAACTACACCTATAGCGTGCATTAACAGCACTGATGTAGAAACCTTATCTGTCCTATTAGTGGTTGCATGGTATATATATATATATATGGCATGGTAAATAGCCCTTTCTTACAGCGGAAATCGTCATCATCAGTTAATATAAATCCCGCGTCTAATAATATCAGTTGTATTGATTGTTTTGTATTCTCGTAACTGTATTAGGTACTAGTGATCTCTGCTGTTATGTCTACCATTAGGACCTCTCGTTAAATAGTATGTTTTAATTGCTCTCTCTCGGATTTCTCGTTAGCCGTAATTGATAGTTTTACCCCTGTTTCTCATCTTTCTATCAGGGCTCCCAGTTGCCGTTTTCTCATGTTTGGTGATGTAGTCCGCTTGCTGTATTATCTCTCCGATCAATCACAACGCAAACTGGCTCGACATGTGCTTGTTCATTGTGCAGCAACCTGTCGCACAGTCAGACCCCACTCTGTGTGTATCCAAACTCTTCGTTCGATTGTGTCTCT